AATGTAAAAATTTCCAAGAATTCCAGTTTTTTATATTCTCCCAAAAATACACAAAGATGTTAACAATCCTCCGGGGAGACCAATAGTGTCAGGGATTGGGTCACTTTTATCACCATTGTCACAATATATTGACCATTTTTTACACAACCCTGTAAAGAAATGTAAAGCATATCTTAAAGACACCATAAGCCTTTTAAATGTTTTAGACAATTTTAAATGGGACGATTCTTATGTTATGGCGACTGACAATGTGAGCAGCCTCTATACTAACATCCAGCACGAGAAAGGGTGTGAGGCTGCCACATATTTTAAAAAAAAGTTTAGTTATCTATCTGAGTCTCAAATTAACTTTATTATAGAGGGGATTAACATAATTTAAAAAAATAATTTATTTTGGTTTGATGGTAAATTTTATCTTCAGGTTAGGGGTACTGCTATTGGGACCAGATTTGCCACAAGCTACGCCGACCTATTTATGTCATATTGGGAAGATCTTTTTATCTACCCTAATGATGAATTGGTGGCAAATCTGGTCCTCTATAAACTTTACATTGATGACGTATTTATAATATGGAAAGGAAGTGAAATTGTAATTTTTTTTTTGATACCCTGAATAGTAATGAGTGGGATATCACTCTCACATATGTCTTAACAATAATTTTCTTGATCTGTCTATTTACATAGAGGATCAAAAAATAAAAAGCAAAACATATTTTAAGTCGGTAGACGTCAATAGCTTCATTGACTGTACCAGCTGCCATTTTAAACTGTGGCTTAACAACATCCCAAAAGGGCAAATGTTAAGACTTAAAAGGAATTGTACGGAAAATAAAGAATTTGTTCAACAAGCCAAATGGTTACAAGAACAATTTAGAGAAAAAGGATATAAGGATGTCCCCTTAGAAAAAACCTTTAAAGAAATAGAAAAAATGGATAGAAAACAACTTCTGCAGTATAAAAATAAAAACTCAATTCAGACTGAAGGAGAAAAAGTACCACTCATTTTTAATTTCTGCACAAATAACCAGGATTTAAGAAAAATTATTAACCGGAATTGGCATATCCTCATGACAGATGATAAGTTGACAAATTTTATTGAAGATAGACCAAGAGTTATATTTAGGGGTGCAACAAATTTAAAACAAATTTTAACAAAAAGCTTTTCAGATATAGATGAAAAGAACAATTTTTTAAAACAACAAAATGGCTTTTTTATTATTGTGGAGATTGGAGGGGGTGCAAAATTAGGAAGGAAAAATATAAAAAGGTTTTAAAATTTACATCAAATGTAACAAACAAAAAGTATGACATTAAATCTTTTATTTCCTGTAGCAGTAAGGACGTCATCTACATGCTAATTTGCCCCTGTGGGCTACAATACATAGGGACGACATTGTGTTGTCTTAAAATCAGGACATTGGAAATATAAATCGGAAATTTACTAATTATAGTATTTGCAAGCATTTTATGGAATGCCATAATGGTGATCAAAAGGACCTAGAATTGTTAGGGATAGAGAAAATAAAAGTGCAATAGAACTGAAATGAAATGGATTTCTGACATGGACACCCTAACACCACAAGGATTGAATGCAGATTTTGAAATCACCCCATATATATATGAACTAACACTCTCCCCCTTATTCCAGTCAGTTTTTGTATTTTTACTTATTTTTAAGATTTTTATCTAATAATAATTATTTAATAATTTTAATATTTATATTATTCCCAAGATTGGTATTATGGACTAATAGTCTATTAATGGGTTGATTTTAAAATATGAATATTATATAAATGCTTTTTGACATATAGACTTTTTATGAAATCCTAATGATTCTGCAGGAAGCATACTAATTCTATTTGTTATAAAGCTGCTTGATGGTTAGTGGATGTGTTTCTATAATGAAATAAATTCATTAATCATGGTCGCATAATCCAGAGAAGAATGAAACTGGCATGAGAACGGAGCTTGATGAATGGATGTGCCAGTTGTGATGTGATATTCTAGCTAGCTTGTCCTTTACAGAGTGGTTAATGTGAGCTATCGGTGGGTACCTCCAGATTGGCGGATCTCTCCTGTGATATAGAGCTCAGCCCTTTCTTAGGGTACCCACCCAGTATACACATACCCCCTCTGCCATTTGCTGAGCATAGACCAGATTTCCTGGTATCAGTGGTTTCAATGTGCCCAGCACTCGGATTCCCATCAGATCCCCTCACTTCTTGTTTATGCTGCATTCCTAGTAAAATATCCTGCCTATTCTTCTGGATACTGTTCTGTCCATATACTAAGCCTTGTGATGCGATATATGATTTAATTTAATATGAATGCTACATAATGATGAAAAACTGCAGAATTGATGCGTCTGGCATGATATATGTTAATCTGTCCAGAATAAATGACCTAATTCTAATGTATGAAAATAGAATCTAAATGCTATTGTGTGATATTAAAATACTTCTGAAGTTTAAAAATGTATTAATATCATGTAACCACTTTGTAACAGATGGTATGGCAGGACTGTCGTGATGTGATGGGATTTACACTGGTCAATCGTGGAGATTACGATGATGAGGTAATGGCTAGCTAACCTTTTAGTGATAAAGACTGTCTGAGCTTATGTAGTCTGTAAAAACGTAATATGTAATGGAGGCAGCAGGAAAAGAAATAGCTGTATTTATCAGTGTAAGAGAGATAAAATGTTGTGCATCTTATTCTGGATTTTACAATCGATTCTAAAGAGCTTGCAATCTGACTTGCAAGGGAGAGCTCTCCAGTAGAGTTTTTTTTTTCTGTCCAGTCTCTAATAATATAATTATAAAATTATAAAATCCCGTCTGATAGTATGTTTCCTGGTATATATATATTCAACATCAGAGAATTCTCACATAACATCTGAAAGATGAAATGACATCTGAGGAATAAAATATCACAACGCTACATATGTGTCAGTAACACCATGGAGCCTGCTAAAATAACTGTAGAATTAATCATCGCTGAAGGGAGTATAAGTATCTTGTTTGTCATATTAATAAAAATATCACGAAAACAGACCTTTGACAAAGTAGCTCATGTGTACACCCTATGGGGCATGTTTAACTGAAAGGAAATGTTATATCTTGCTTTCTCAGTTGAACAAAATATGAGTAAAGTATGTGTGTGAGTGGTTTGAAGTCAGTCGTAAAACATGACAGAGACATTTGAGTGTAATCACCGGATACAACACTACTGATATAGATATGTCCTTTGAGCTTAAGGGAATTGTTACTAGTTGTTGGTATGCCCCCTAACTGCTTTCGTTTTTTCATTTTCAATCAGCTGATCCCAATACATGCAATATTGAATCAAGTTGGGCTATGAAAACTGGATGACCTGATGGACTCTAGACGTTTTGCTATACTTACACTCACCATTACTATCTTTCCCTCCCAGATAAAATTGAATTTCATAGGGTTCAGACTGGACCTTTGCCGTGAGAGGCAAATCCATCACTAGGCTGATTTGTTACACCTACCAATTACTACTGTTGAGTAAAGTTAAAGACACAATGTTCTTGTAGAGGCAATCGGAGGAGGTAATGGTGACTGAATTCGAGCATTCTGAAAGGTTCTCATTCCAAACCACTCAATTAGCTCAATATGCTTTCTCTACATCATCTACATGATGGAGATGTGGTTCCCAAATTGGCACACATGATATCTTCTTTCTGAATTAAGGTCAAAGATATCATACTGAAATTCTTGACAACCCTCCACGATTTCAACCCAAAAGTGCGCACCACTTTTATGATATAAAAAAAGGTATATTCTCCTTCATTTACTGAATGCAACCATATATTTAATTCCTGCTTACTGGAATAGCCCAACCACCCATATAGGTCAATCATGGTTATATTGAGTGGAAGTAATGAATGCCTTAGAAGTTATGATGGTGCAGCTGCAAAACAATATGGAGAAACATATCAACTTGCGGCAAAAGTGTAGAAATTTATTAGCAAAAACTATGGATAAACATGTTTAAGGTAGAGGTAAGGTAATTTGTTTTTCAAATTTTTATAATTATTTTTATATATATATATATATATAATGTAGAAAAGTGCAATCATGGTATAAGTCAGTAAGTAAAAAAATGTTTTGTTTTTTTAAACATACGATAGACAGTAAAGGAATGCGGATGAATGGTACAATTAAAAACAAAATTGGCAGGAAAATTACTTGATTATTTGAGTTAAAAAGGGACCTCTGAGAGGCACAATATAAAGGGGTGAAAATAAACAAATAGTTGCTCTCAGGAATTAGTTCAATAAACTATTGGCCCAGTACAGTTTAGCAACGTCACAATCAAAGCATTATGAGGCCTACTCAGCAAGGTAAAATTGGAAACTTCATGTAGGACCATTCAGCCTTAAGGATTGAGAATCTTCATCTGTCCTGAGGACTAGCATTTTGCACAGAACTGTGGTTGCAGCCGGCAGGATTTGACGTAGGTCCCATTAGCGCTAGTAAAGCCTGAGGAAGCAAGGGTAATAGCTGAAGAGTATGATGAAAAATCTTTGTGTCTTCTGAGGCTGATACAATCAACAATGCATCTTTATATTGCGTGGGTTCCTATAGCTCCCCATTGATATCGGAGGTTTATTTCCTGGTAAGAACTGCCGTCTGTCTATCAGTATGGAAAACGGTAGATCGTCAGACACCTTATTGGAGTAGCTCTCAACAGTTATAGCAGGTAGGTTTCTGGAATAGGCCATAATTGCCGAGTGACTGAAATGATGTGTCTGGGTGCATCCGCAGGGGCAGTTGCGGCATTACAAATTCTTAGCACTGACACTATAGGAGAGGATTCTCCATCCACCCTCTGCTCAGTTTACTGTCACTCTGTGGATCCAAAGACAGCAAAGCCTCGGGGCATGTTGTTTCTGGAGTTTCACAGATGCGATTGACTCTCTGTCAGTGAAATGCCTCAAAGTTGTCTACTGTATGGGATAATATTTAGATTTGGTGAGTTAGTGTGTTCACTGGCTTCGAGTATCTCTTAGTTGGTCATTCCATTCACTTACCCAGGTCTCGACAGCACTAATGTGGTAATGTAGAAATCCCATCTCTTTCTATACTGTAGAGAGATTAGCCTTCCATATCTCCCTCATGTAATAGCTTTTTGATATCCCCTTTAGTGAAGGGCAAGGTGTCTTCATCAGAATCCATCCTCTGGAATATACCACTAGGAATATGCGAGGCATTAGGTTTCTCTTCGTCCTGGGAGATGTCCAAATCACTAGGACCTCAAGTAAACGTGGATGCCATCTTTGGTAGTGCTTGCAGGTGTGGCCTGTCAAAGGCAAAGCAGATGTCCTACGAGGCATACGAGAGCCCTCTATGTGGGCTACATTTCAATATTTTCACCCCATCTCTCTCCGGGGGGAGTTAGTTTTTGAGCATTAAAAGAGCATTCTACTCGTTGCAATGAGTTGTAAAATAGCACAAAGTGCATGAGCTCCACTCAAACACAACTTGTCAGCAGGACAGCTAGTTGTGCCCCATTTTCTCACGTTATTTAAATATTTATACATATGTAATGTTTTGCAATAAATATATGGTATCGGAAGAAAACACTATTTATTCTTTAAAAAAAAAAGTATTATATGTACGGGTGCACTTAAAAAGAAAGTGTTAAATTAAGGTGAAGCAAACACATAACAAGAACACAGCAGAAAGAAAGGGAAGCTTGCTAAAAACCTGTATGAGTTACCCGGGATTTAGTTCACAAACTTGTTGAGTTCAGATTTCTCAATGGTTGTCAGAAGAAAAATAAATAATAATATAAAAAAACTGTAGACACTTGTAAACTACGCAGTTGTGTCTAAGGGAATGTTGTTGTTTTTTTCTTCAGTTCATTTTGGTTTGTAAAGTCAGTATTGTGTGTTAATAATAATATTCACTGTTTTATATATATATATACAATAAATGCTGTTTTGTGCCTCAGCACTGTCCTTTTCCACACTAATCTTTCCGCCTACAGAAATGCATACGGTAAGAAAAGGGCTTTTCCCTCAAATGTACGACCTTTCATAATTGCTTCTTAGAAGCACAAAGCAACATGCAGATACATTTATTATACTCATGGGTTTTTTCTTTAAATAACTGGAAACAAATTACATCTCTATATTCAAACTCCCTGTGGTTCTGATTGACTGCTTGAGCCCTGACTAAGCAATTTCTATCAATTATAGTGTTTTATGTTTAACTATAAAAGTACTTAGCAAAATAATTCAAGAAAACTACCATACTCCCTCCTATTTAACAGTCTTTGTAGAGCATTTTATATCTGGGATATCATTTATATATCTGGATTTGGAGTTGATATTTAAAAAAAAAAAATCTATTAAAAATATAACCAAACCATCATAAATAAAGGAAAATTATGGTCTTTGTTATCGCATTATATAAAATATATAAAAATGAAATAAAAATTAAGGGTAACAATAACTATGCCCTTAAGGTTACTGCAGTTGCACAGCTGAACGAACTTCATGCAGATGCATGTACTTAGGGCCACCTGATGGCCATCTTTGATTAGGGACCCGGTCAAGCTTTGCAGCCTGTTAACAGTGCAACCCGGCTCCCTGCTCTATGTGATTGCAGGGAGGTTACAAATCATTTTCTCCCAGCTTACCAACGATCCACGCAGGAGAGAGAGAGAAGGGAGGACAATAGAGACGAGGGAGAGCCAGGAGCAGAGAAGAGGAAAGGCCTGGACCAGACTCCCATCTACATACTCCTGGATTCCAGAAAAGCCACCCTCCTGCAGCAAAAACATATGGAATTAGGGTGGTGGCTAAAATGTGATCTTTGTGTGTATATGTCAGTGTGTATATACAGTGAGGGGGAAAAAAAGTATTTTGATCCCCTGATGATTTTGAATGTTTGCCACTGATAAATAAATGATCAGTCTATAATTTTAATGGTAGGTGTATTTTAACAGTGAGAAACATTATAACAAATAAAAAAATTCAGAAAAATGCACGTCAAAAAAGTTATAATTTAATTTGCATGTCAATGAGTGAAAAAGTATTTGATCCCCTATCAATCAGCAAGATTTCTGGCTCCCATGTGTCTTTTATACAGGTAATGAGCTGAGATTAGGAGCACTCTCTTTTTTTTCCAATTGACAATTTTTTATTTTGTCTTTGAGCAAAAAGAAACATGGGGATACAAAACGAGGAAAGAGGGGGGGGGGAATTATACATTGCATAATGGCTACACAGACAATAGCTATGTGTAGTTATATACATATCAGTGTACAACATAGTTAGACATCCACATACAAACATGCTTCCCTGAGTTGTGTGTTTTCTGGAGCTTCATTGCTTATTTACCGTAAACCCCTTTTTTTTTTTTTTTTTTTTATATATATTTGGTGTGGTAGTATTTGTTGGCGCTCTGCGTGGCGCCTCTCGATTTTGTTTCAGGAGTCGGTAGGCTCACTAGGGTGGACGTGGTTAGGGGGGGTGGTGTCTTAGTTCGTGATTTGTTGAACCCACAGGTCGTGTGCTTCCTGTACCTCTTTTCGTGTTCCAAATTGTGCGTGTGCCATTTTTTCGTATTCCCAATTTTGGTTTACCTGTTTTATAAGGTCCTCTATGGGTGGAGTGAGAGCTTTTTTCCAATGTCGGGATATCACTAGGTTGGCTGATATTAATGTGTGATATAATATCAGTTTGATATGTTTCGGTAATTTTTCTGGCAAGATGAACAAGAGACACATCTGAGGTGTGTCTACTCTTGGGGCTGGCGATATCTTCTGTAGTATGTTCGCTACCTCTACCCAAAATGGTCTGAGCATGGTGCATGTCCACCAAGTGTGTATCATCGTGCCCACGTCCTTCCCACACCTCCAGCACATATTGCTGGTCGAGGGCCATATTCTGTGCAATTTATCCGGTACCAAGTACCAGCGGTATAAAATTTTTCGCTGCAATTCTAGATGTGTGGCACATGCTGTAAGCCCCCTATGAGCCGTGTATGCCCTCTCCCAGTCCCTGTCTGTTATTGTAACGTTGATATCTCGTTGCCAGGATGATTTGACCTCACCTAATGTGTGTGATTGTTGCGTTATTAAGCTCTGGTATCCCCAGGACATTATTTTCTTGAGTGGTGTTGTTCCCGTGCTTTGTTTTTCGAATTCCGTCATATGTGTCGGTGCTGTGGGCTCTGTTCGTCTCCCTAGCTTATCTAGTACGTAAGATTTGAGCTGAAGGTAGGAGAATAATGCTTTGGAGGGGAGGTTATATTTTTCCTGTATGTCGGGGAACGGTATCAGTCGCCCCCTGTCTATCACTTGGTACATGTGACGTATCCCGCCTTTCACCCATATTTCCCAAGGGAATGTAGGAATCTCCAGTCCTATGGAGCGCAATGGCATAGCTAACGGTATTTTCGGTTGCGTCACTAAGTCTGGTTTCATTGTGTGCCACATTCGCAGTAAGGTTTGGGTAGGTGGTAGGAGATCGTTTATTTCCTGGTTGTTTTTCGTCTGTTTCCACATGAGTGACCTAAGATCACCTTGTGGTGCTTTGCTGGCTTCGATCGTCACCCACTGCGGGGCGCCGGTAGGCCTGTTAATCTGTGCAATGTTGTGTAGGTATGCTGCTCTGTAGTACATCGCCAGGTTAGGAAGGCCTAATCCCCCTTTTTTGACAGATCGATATAACGTCCCTGCTGCTACTCTTGCCTTTTTCCCTTCCCAAATGAATGAGTTAATGATATGTTGCACGTTTTTTAGGAACTGTTTTGGTATTGGTATTTGGAGCGTCCGGAAAAGATACTGTATCTTAGGGGTAAGTGTCATTTTGACTGCTGCTATGCGTCCTATCCATGACAGGTATTTACCCTTCCATGAGTGAAGGGTGTCTGTAAATTCCTTCAGTAAACGGGTGTAGTTGTGTCGGAACAGGTGGGCTGGGTTTTTGGTTATTTTGATACCCAGGAATGTCAGGTGATCGTGTCTCCAGTCTAGAGGGAATGCTCGTTCCAGTCTGATTGCTAACTCGCCTCCTAGTTGTATTCCTAGGGCCTGGGTTTTCGTGACGTTAAGCTTATAGTATGATACTGCCCCATATTCTTGGATTCTGGTCATCAGGTTTGGTAGGGATATTAATGGGCGTGTTAGTGTTACTAGGACATCGTCCGCGAACAAATTGAGCTTAAATTCGTTAGTCCCCATGAGTACTCCTCGTATGTTCGTGTCAGCTCTAATAACTGCCGCCAAGGGTTCCAGCGCTAAAATATAGAGTAATGGTGATAGGGGGCACCCCTGTCGCGATCCATTAGTAATGCGTATTTGTTTGGATACAAACCCAGAATTTAAGACCCTGGCTGTGGGGTGGGAGTAGAGCGCTCTGACGGCGTTTATAAAGGTTGGGGGGAATTTATATTTACCAAGTACCGCCTGCAGAAAAGGCCAGTTGAGCCTGTCAAAAGCCTTTTCCGCATCTAGTGACAGAAGTATCCCCCCCTCACCTTTGTCAGTCAGGCTGTATAGTAGGTCAATTACCTTCCTGGTGTTGTCTGAGCCCTGTCTGCCTTTTGTGAATCCCACCTGATCATCATGAATTAATGTTGGGATTATGTCCGCTATTCTGTTGGCTTGTATTTTTGCATATAGTTTAATGTCCGTGTTGAGTAACGAGATCGGTCTGAAGTTTTGACTACATGTCGGTGGCTTTCCTGGTTTAGGCAGTGTTACTATGTGTGCGCCCAGCATCTCTGCCGGAGCGTCCGCTTTGCGAGTGAGTGCATTGAATAAGTTTGCTAAGTGCGGGGCTAGAGTATGTGCGAATTTTTTGTAGTAGTTGTTGGAGAACCCGTCTGGGCCTGGGGCTTTCCCGCTTGGGAGATGGGATATGGCCTGAAGTACTTCTGTTACTGTGATATCTTCCTGTACTGTAGCTATTTGCTCCACTGTCAGTGATGGTAGAGATATCCCCGCTAGGTATGTCTCTATACCGCCCGTAGTTGGCTGGCTCGTGTCAACCGCATTCTCCAGGTTGTATAGAGATGTGTAGTAATCCGCAAATACGTCCCCAATGTCTTTGGGTGTCACCTTTTTTTCCCCTGTTTGGTTGTGAATGAATGGGATCTTGGCATTCACATTTCTGTGTGACAGTCTCCTGGCTAGTAGTCTGCTTGCTCTATTGCCCTGTACGTACTGTGTCGTCTTAAGTTTTCTAAGG